GGTTTTGTGGGGGTGAGGGGGGGGGGGTTGGGTTGAAAAAGATATATTTTTTTATATATTATATAGACAGGCTATTACAATCTCTAAGAAGAAAAGCACTAATGATTATCCAAATAAAAATTGTTAATTTGTGTGCTTAAAAAGTCGGCAAAGTAATTTGAAAGAAGAAAGTTATTAGATAAATCGTGTTAGGTGCTATTTATTTTCATGTATAGTCTTTTTAATGTCAGACTGAGATATATACATAAATATGGGGTCCTTTATTTGCCGGTTGTTACCCATGCATTTTCATTCTTATTTTAATCAATTTGCTATTTGATATGTATAAAAATATGGCCTTTCATAATCGACTTAATTATTATTATTTTTACTTAGTCATTTGATATAGGGATAAGGGTCTGAAAAATACCTTAACTTTGATCGAATTTATTGTTGCGATACTAAACTTTCATGAAGACCTATTACCTCCCTAAACTATTTAATACCGTATTTTAAACATATATATTTGCCCACCTGAACATAAAAAATAATGCAAAATTATAAATAGTAATGTGTCCATGTGGGCACATATATACCTTTAAAATACACTATTAAATAGTTCAGGGGGTAAAAAATACGGTATTAAATAGTCTAGGGAGGTAATAGGTCTTCATGAAAGTTTAGTATCGCAACAGCAAATCCGATCAAAGTTGGGGTATTTTTCAGACCCTTATCCCTTTGATATATGATTTGAAATGTAACTCGATTAATCCAAAACTAGAGTTAGGTAGACTAGTCATTTAAGGAGAAATTAAATTGCTCTATATTGAGAAGTTTTATATTTTTAGGAATCGAACTCGAGGGTGAAGGGTTTTTAGTCACTGCACCACACTCCTCAATGTTGCACCAAGGGTTGTAGTGGAATGGTAAGTTTTCCTTCATTCTTAACCATAGGTCTTGAGTTCGAGTCCTCTTGGATATCAGACACCGAGTGGAAAAAAAAGAGGTTTAACTTAGTTAGAAGTAGGGGTAGAGTCAATGTGCATTTTATGGATACGACATAACTCAATATCTTTGATCCTGACTCTATATTTGTACTAAAAAAATTGCTATATCATATGTATAAATAGTGTATTCATAATACGATTAGCAGGTTTTTCTAAAACTCATAACTCATAAATTCAAAATACTGACTTCATCTTAATAGGAAACTACAACAACTTAAATTACAATCATAGTTGAAATATGATGGGTGATTACACATTCTTGATTGAACCTTCCAACCTTTTGTCTCACTTATTGTATCATGAGACCAGAAAAAGCGTATCTTTAACGTATCATTAGCAAGTGTTTAATTTAGGAAAAACTAAAGAAAATGTCAAACTACATATTATATTAAAATTATATAGCTACACTATATTTTATTTATAATTTATGGATATATTTAATTAATAAATAGCAAAATATAATTTACACCTATAAAATTTACTTTTTCCCACTTTTCACGTTTTCTCTTCCCTATTTCCACTTTTTCAGCCTTCTTTGATTATCCCTAATTCAAAATCTTTATCCCCAAATCAATTCTATTACTCCTAAATCAACTTCATCTCCTAGTAGGACCCACAAAATCACAGATTCTTTGCCCATCAAAAATTGCATACCATTACACTTTGAATACCTTCTATTGTATTTGAATACCTTCTAGTGTATTTAGAGTTATATTGTCATTTTGTTTTCTGAAGAATATGACTGTAGTAAATGTTGTCATTCTCTTAATATACTTTTTTTTAAAAACAGTATCCTATTTAATAAGTAATTTATTTTCCTCATTTATCAGGGATTGTGGGATATATTTGCTAGCATTTGCAGAGTACCTAAGTGAGGGTGAAGGTATTTCAGTTCAATACCTTGATTCTAAATTATACCACATCAGATATGTACGGCTCATTATTGTGAGAATATACAGCGAAGAAGATGGAAGAAGGTGCTATTAGCGAGAATGAGGCACCACCCAGAATGATCAGGCCACCCACAAGAATCGATAATAGTCAACTTGTTAGGATCGATTAGTTTCTTATCCTAATTATCATTTTGAACTTCTATTTAATGCTTATGGTTAAAACTAATATTTTTGTTTTTTGTCAAACATTATCAACTCTTCTATTTATATATGATCATGTTGCAATTTTTTGTTGGGGTTATTTCATTCAATGTAATGATAGGAAGAGATGGATATATGTTTGTATAAATGTAAAGTTCATCTGAAAACATATACACTTGGATATCTACTTTTGGTAATCAATTTGTTCAGTTGTTTGTTTTTTTTATCAACATATTCAATAGTATAAATGTATGCTAGAGTCTTTTTCATATCAAAATATACACAAGTATTACTATATTCATTTATCGTCAGTTATTGCTTAAAGAAATTTGGATACTTACGTTCTTAAAAGTGATAAACATACAATAAATGTTGGTAGTAATTACATTATTCTATGTTTTTAAAGTAAGTAATATGTAAGCGTATACAGAGAACATTGTTCCTTTTGTATTTTTATAGGTTGTGTGTTATATTAATCAAATTTTTCACTAATATAACTGTTTTATATATGTATTCACCAACATATTATCAAGTATAACTATATTCACGTATTACCAGTAGTTTAGGTGTGTCAATACATATTAATAGTATCAAATTGAGTATTGAGATAATATTCAAGTTAATTTATAATTTAAGCAAGCAAACAAAGAAACAAATATTTCAAAAGGCAAATAAGAAAAAATTTATTCATTTATTCGACATAACGATAATTAAGTAAAAGAACACTTCAATAGTGGGATGTATCAGGTCCTATGC